TTTGATTGATCAGAGTCTACAGTGGTGCCAAAAAAAGCATCTAAATCACTTTCTTCTGTCTCAACAATGTCAAACTCTGGAACCGGCTGTGTCTGGCTCACCTCAGGACCGTCTTGTCTGACAGGAATATATCTGGCTCTGTAGTCTAACATCATCAACCTCTGAAGAAAAGTATGAGCTAGATCTTTCTCACATGTGTCATGGTCCTGTTTCACAGGTGGACCTATTTTAAGGAAATCTGCTGGAGTCAGCTTCTGTTGATGTTTGTCTTGAAGGTGAAGTCTGCCAAGCAATCTTTCACTTTCTCTTTGATATTGTTTCTTCCTGTTGGTCTCTTCAGAAATCTATCAAGTAAAAATTGACTGTATGTAAAATATGACAACAACATACAATGGGATAGTAAATTGTCCTAAAGATCTTGTGAAGGTTGAAGTGTCTTACCTTATCTTCTTTTCCACTCATATAAATTTCTAAGGGACCTGCAGTAAAATAATGAACTTCATTTTAAGATATAACCAATATTCTGTATTTTTCTTTTTTACTCGTAATATTTTGAATGGTGTAAGATTAAATGGTTCAAATTTTGACTATTTAACATTATGTTAGTATTAAATAATTAATTCAAATATTACTTTTGTCCTTGGTTGTAGATTGGTGACACTTGATTTCTGCTGTTGTGTTGTCATCAGCAGGTTCATTCCCTGGATCATACTATGAAAACAAATTATTTTATTTAACATTTAGTTCACCAGGTTATAAGCATTGAGAACATGAAGAACAACACAGAACAACACAGAGTAAAAATATAAGCAAGGAAGAGCAATCAGCACAAAGCTGAGTACAAGCGATTTTAGATAGAAGAAAGTAAACTATTTGGTGTTTTCAACTCATCCATGTGTCCAACCAGGAGCTCCATGGAATCAAAGTCTGAAGGTGTTATTGCTAAAATTTGACACAGAGAAAAAGTAGGGAGCACTAAAGAGGTACTCAACCCTAATATGTAATATTTGAGCTGTAAACCTAATTCTATGCCTGTACTGTATTCAAACACATCAATGCTGGTCTTAATATTGACATTCTTATCAAATTTATGAACATCTGCATTTTGTGGCTTGAAAATAGCTCAATGGCCCCTCAATGGCTGTTTTAAATCACCCTGAACCTTGTAAGGCTAATGCAGACCTTTTGGGACTCCCTTATATCATTACATTTAGATAAAAAAAGAGTGTAAATGCGCTCTAACCAGAGGAGGGCAACCCACCTCCCCCAGCCTCTGTGCTTATTTTCAAATGTACACTTATCGAGATGCATCATTCACAGGAGTTTATACTAGTATCCTCTACTGTGGTACAGTGGTTCGGACTTATGCTTCCAGCTACAACACAGGAACCACACAGACACTTGTACAAATAGTCATGAATATGCTTCTAGTGACAGTTCCAGCAGTGTGACAGCAGCAGCTTATTTGCTCTGCCTAACAGCTTGCTGTTCCTGCTACACTGCTGTGGACAATCTGTCAATCACTCCTGTCTGTGTCTAGGTCACGCCGCCTAAAGTCACTGTCCTTTGCAGGTCTCTGATGCATTTCTTAAATTCACTGAGAGGGAGGGAGGTAGCAGGACTGAAGGGTGTAGTTACACTTAAAAACAAGCTTCTGTATGACAATGACAACTGAGGACCAAAAGATCTCACCTTTGCTTCTGTTTCAGTTGCACTCTCCTCCAGCTCGTCTACTGCAGGGTAATGTAACAACAAGCAGATTGCAGGGTTAAACAGAAAAATAGTTTTTGTCAGTTAACTATTCCTGATGAAGAATTATTTGCAAAAATCTGTGTATTCAAACAGTTCAATGTTCATTGTCATGATGCATTTCCTCTACACCAAATAATGATAATGTGTTTTGTGTATTTCAATTATTCAGAGTTTGCAGAAATGCAGTACCGTTTTCTTTCTAGTCTTCTTACCACTCAAAACACTTTTACACTACATGCCACTGTCACATATGTGTTTTGACTCTGCTCTGTCCTGTGTCCTGTTCCAGGCACCGCCCTCCCCTCCGACTGGTCAGTTTTAACAATCATGCCGCTTGCTTTAAAGCTACTTCGACGGAAGCAGACGAGGACAGTGGGCCAAGCCGCCAGATAGTGTTGTGGTGCTGTCAGTCGTGAATCAGAGCTGTGTGGTGCCCATTGTGTGACATTATCATTACTCCCTCAGTGGAGGGAGAGCGTTGTTCATACTTATTTGGTGGATCAGTGGTTTGTTTAGTTTAAAT